GAAGCTCGTTTAGATAATAACAGAGGGAAAAAACACATTTTATGGGCTGCCGGCCATTTAGCATTTTCAAGACCTTGACCGGTAAACGGCCATATAGACACAGCGAACTTTTAATCATTTGTATGTCAGGATTCCATGGTTTCATGGTTGATTTCGCAACCGCCATTTCATGTACAAACTAAAAAATACTAATCTAGTACTTGTAGTTAAGATTTATATGCCACAACTGTATCAATATGTGTTTTTCAGTCGGTTTTCATTCTCAACAGCCTCATACGATTTTTACTGTACAACCGGGGATTTTGATCTGATGCAACATGGCTTAGTTAGCGGTGTGACTCCATATAGTTTATGGAAACCTTGCATCTTTCTGAGATTGACTAGCTTGCCACGACACTATGCTTCAGACGCTTACATTCAACTTGTGAAGTTTTAGACAATTTGTTTAGAGATCGGTTTACGTGGCATGATTCACGACAGGCTATGTTAAATTAGAATTTTCGGATGCAAGTAATTTGCTAACTGTTATGGTATATAGAATATATAAGAGATGAGCAGCTTTAGCTTACCTGTAGATAACAAAATCAGTGCTATAACAGGCTTTGGAAGAACTTATCCAGTCAGACAAGGAGATGCAATCAACACAGCTTATTTGATCAGCAACACAAAAGCAACAAGTCTATAACGTGAATTTAAGCGTGACCATAGAACTGATTGGAGATCACGAAATCCAAGCAAATGACACAAATGGGACTGTAAAATCAGTGCAATAACAAACTTTAAAATAACTGATAAATGTAAAATTTCAAGGACATGCGATAAACACAGCTTATTCGAACAACCGCCATTTAAGAAACACAACTATTCCAAGTCTAGCATAACAGCGTGACAAGGAATCTTGGAGATCACGAAGACCGAGCACATGACCCGCATGAGGCACCTCACGAAGCTAACTTTTTATCTTAACATCGTCTGTAGTCAAGAAATGATGCATAGAATCAAGTCTCTTTTAATAGATTGGGCTTTGTATTGCAAAATAACCCAGGGGGTGTCTAGTAATGTTGTTGCGCGTCATACGGTACTTTAATATGTTCTGAAATGTACTTTGTTTATTTGATTCCGCGCGTCGATAATAAGACGTCATACTACTAAAACTACGGGCGAAATCCAGACTTTGATATAGAAACGAAGGAAAGGAATAGAATCCCAGCGAGGTCGGAAATTCATTTTTTCCGAATTTATTTCCAAGGGTCTTTCTCCCGGAATAACCTCCTTCTAAGCACTATTCCTTTCCGTTATTTCTAAACCTATGCCATGCGGTCCAAATTTTCATGTTATGAAAATCTGTATATGACAAGGAAGGTAGGAGATCACGAGGGCCGAGAACATGACACTCATGGGACACCTCACGAAGCTAACTGTATATCTTAATTTCGCCTATAGTCCATGCAAGAAATGGTACATAAAATCAAGTCTCTTTTAATGAATTTAAAATGATTACGGACTGTTCCAAATGGGTGGCCAGGGAGAACATTGAGCGCATTTTTTAAGAAAGTCCTTATCATAATTTTTTATCCTAATTTTTCAATCGTTAAAAACTTAATCAAACCTTGTATCGTATTTGTTTCTTAAATTTCATGAAATAATATAAGCAAAGCCAACAAATGGAAGGGTTCATTTCTAAAGACCTCAATGAGCGCAAAATCTAAGTATGTGCCTCCTCTGCCCCTACACAAGGTCTGGATCCGATGAATTTGGTGTAGTATTACTGTCGAGGTTTAAAGAAAATTTCATAAGATGGGGGGTAGTGAATAGTGCCCGTCAAATTATCGGTGATTTGCGGTATTGGACCTTGTACCTTGTGCAAGGTAAACTCGTGCAACAGTCTCGACGTAATGACAAACAACTCTTGCTTTGCCAGAGTTTCGCCGACGCACACACGWCGCCCCATGCCAAAAGGAAGAAAGCTCTTCGAACCGGCATTTTGGTCAACTTTTCCAYTKTCGTTGATGAACCTCGATGGATTGAAATCATCTGGATCCATCCACTCTTGTTTATCTTGATGCATGGCCCATGCATTAAACATCAAATATGTACCCTTTGGTATGTTRAAGCCTGCAAGAGTCGAATCTTTTGTTGCTTTGTGTGGGAGAAGAAGAGGTGCAATKGAAGCTTTTCGGAGAGTTTCATCAATAGTTGCTACCAGATAGGGAAGTTGTGTTCTGTGCTTCCAAAGAGGTAGAGTGTCTGGACCAAGAACACTATCAAGCTCTTCGTGTATTTTGGATTGCACTTCTGGGTGTTTCACCATGTACAGCATGAACCATAGAAGAGCTGTGGCTGTAGTTTCTAATCCTGCYAKAAAAACATCCATTATGGTCATCACGACATGCTCTTCATCGATGAGGCGGTAGTTTCTGCTGTCTTCTTGGTCAGCGTCGTGGCGAGCCTTAATGAGGGCATCCGTAAGGTCGCGTATGACACCATYTTGGTAGGAGTCTTTGTGCTCGTGATACTTGCCAAATATATACTGATGAAGATCATCACGAAGCTCTTTCAACTCTGTGGATGGACCAATCGGAAGGTGTATCAAGAATGGCAGGAAATTTAGGATGTTGAAAGGACTTGACAAATTAGCAACTCTGCGGGAGAGGTTCAATTTTTCCATAAATTCGTCATCAATCTGTTCAAAGCGYTGGCCAACTGCTATTTGAAAGATAACATTGGTCGTTACAAAMASYACATCTTCCTTGGGGTTTGTTGGTTTTCCTGGGGAAATGCGTTGGATCATTTCGTTCACTTCTGAGATGATTTTCTCTTCAAGGAAAGGCTGGTACATGCGAATGGCAGAATGGATTATCTTTCGCTGCAAAACTAAAGATGCATTAAAGTCACCAGAGGCAAGATCTTTGGAGCCCATCGACAAAAAATGAAAAACGAAGGATGTAGGTCTTCCAGCAAAGTCATCTTTCTTGGTTAGTAGTGCTTCACGAGCGTGAGCTATGGAGCTGACGACMACAACACGCTGTAATGCCGGCAATTCCAGGATAAACACGTCACCATATTTCTTTGCCAGTTGAGACAGAATGACGTGCGTCCTTTTTAATACGTCATTGCCAGACGATAAAAGCGTGAGCAAGTTGCCAACAATGGGCAGCGGTAAAGGACCAGGTGGCATGCCCTTTGGCTTGAACAKGTAMTTTATGACTATGTAAGTCAACGCCAAAATGGCCAGAGCTGCTGTTATTCCTTGCAACATACTATAAGTAAAATGAAACGGTACGACAATTAATGTGGGAAATATGAATACCTAACCTACTAATTGATGGTTTTCAACCATTCCCAGGAGAGAMAGTTGAACAAAAGACGTCCGCCATTGCTGGTGGACCTGCAAAAGAAAACCAGCACCGTGACTGGTGGACCTTTTTGTTTTTCTCACTCTCATGGGAATGGTTTAAAACCATCAATAGTACTGCTTTAGTTGAGCTTTGAACAAACCAGACCAAATCTGTTTAAAGGAAYAATTCATCCGTTAATCCTTAATCCAATCCTGTCCAATGCTGACAATTTCTTAATAATTCAGCGGGGAGACAAGGTTTTCTGACGTCAGAGCATGTTTACATGGAACTAGTTGCTCAGAAACAGTGGAATATTGACATTTTAACGACAATTGAAACATGAAATGAAAACTTCAGAAAATGATGCATTATTTTCTMTTGGTCATAATCATATAYGTGCATRTCTTCTTTTTAACTTTTTGTAATCATTCTGATGGCTGCATGGTGTATTTTTTCTGTTTTTAGCGATTGGGGTTTGAGTAAACATGTAATTGTTTGTATGTCGAGGATTCCACGATTGATTTCGCAACCATCATTTATGTGCAATATAATATATACAATCACTTATCTAGTAGTTACAGTTAAGGATTCTAAGACATAACTGCATGTGTATTTTAGTCGGTTGTTTTAATAGTCGAGTTTCGCGATCTCTGTTACGCTGTGTTAGCCTCAATTGTGTGCTAAAATATTCAGAAATGTAATAGTCATAATTCAGCRGGAGTCCTTGTATGTACACTGTTAGGAYTGCCCTCYGGGTTTGTGACGTCAGACCATGTTTCCAACTGTTACAATGGAAATGTTTACAAAGGAAATAGTTGATGAGAAACAGTGGAATATTAACATTTTAAAGACAATTGAATGAAATGAAAACTCCAGAAAATGATGATTTATTTTCTATTGCTTGCAATCAAATACGTTTATGTCTTTTTTAACTTTTCATTTTAATCATTCTGTTGATTGCACGGTGTATTTCTCTGTTTTTATTAGGCGGCGATTCGGGGTTAAGTAAACTTTTAATTATTTGTAAGTCAGGTTTTCATGGTTAATTTCGCAACCGCCATTTCATGTGGAATGTRCAAACTAAAAATACTAATCTAGTACTTGTAGTTAAGATTTCTATGMCATAATTGTATCAAGATGTGTATTTTAGTCRGTTTTGATTCTCAAYAGCCACATACGATAYACTGTACAACCGGGGATTTTTATCTCATGCAWCACCGACGGCTTTACGGTGTGATTATATTCCATATTGTATATGGATACCGTCTCACTAGCGTACGACGGAAGGTTAAATAGGTCTSTATACTTCAGATGCTTACATTGATTCAACCTTGTGCAGTTTATGAGATTCAGGTTATATTAACCTG